AAATGCTTTCTGTTATAATAGTTGCCTTGGTCATGATGTCTCTTCACAGCAATTAGAACATCGAATAAGTTAATTTGTGTCCTGGAGACTTTCTAGAAGTTAAATTTCTGGGTTAAAAACAATATTTTCACATAGAATGGAGTTTGTGAAGGTGCTTATTGAAAAGTACGAATACCTACCTATTTGCTTATTTGATTTTCTGTCTTACAGGTAATTTAATTTGTCTTTTCCCTCCAAACAATTAAAAATTGACAAATTCCACATTTATGGACAAACATCTAAGTAAGTTTTGTATGCTGCTTTCTGTGGCCATTTGAAGAAAGTTATCAAGAAGTTATATACTGATAATGTTTTCCTTACAACTTTTGTGGTCAGAAAAACTGTATATTATCATGACTGAATGCGATTATATTTATATGCATTTCAATAAAATTTGCTAACCCATCTTCTAATAGCTAAGAAATTATCTTTGTTTTGATTCACAAACATAGTTACTTTACATTTGAAAAATTCTGAGCCAGGCAGTGGTGGTGCATGCCTTTAATCCCAGCACTCAGGAGGCGGAAGCAGGTGACTCTGTAAATTTGAGGCCAGCCTGGTCTACAAATCAAGTTACAGGATAGCCTGAGTTGTTACACAGAGATACATTGTATCAAAAGCAAAACAAAACAAAAACTGCGGTTTTATTACTAAGAATTTCCTTGGTCAGAAGAGATAGCTTAACAGATAAACTGCTTGCCACAAAAAGCCTGAGGACCTAGAACTCACATAAATGTGGAAGGCAGGAACTAATTCTACAAAATGTCTTCTGATCTCTCCAGAGGTACTGTGTGGAATGTGTGTTAATACACAGTAAATATAATAAATAAAATGAAAAGATGTTTATTTGTAGAACATATCATTTGGAGCTTATTATTGCAGGGCTCAGGAGCTAGCTGAGTGGTTAAAGGGCTTGCCACACAAGCACAAGCATTGGGGAGGGGGGCAGTGAGAGGGGGGGCATGTGGTGGGGTTGAGCTACTTGAGATCCTCAGCAGCAATTTTTTTCGAGACAGGGTTTCTCTGTATTGTATTGGAGACTGTCCTGAAACTCACTCTGTAGACCAGGCTAGCCTTGAACTCACAGAGATCCGCCTGCCTCTGCCTCCCGAGTGCTGGGATTAAAGCCATGCACCACCAACGCCTGGCTTCCCAGAAGCAATGTTAAAGACATGGGTGTCATTTTAATCCCTGAGATGGACAAGCAAAGACAGTTGGATCCCTGGGCCTCACTAACCAGCCAGTCTAGCCTACTCTGTGATTTCCAGGCTGAGAGACCCTATTTTAGAAAACAAGATGCATGGAACAAACAGTGCCTGAGGAATGACACCTGAAGTGGTCCTCTGGCCTCTCCATGCACAGTAGTGCACACATGTGTACCCACAGGAGCGTGCACTCACAGGCATACACCCCCACATACAAAGCTGTTCAATATCAAGAAATCATCACCAAGAGCTAGTTCAAAAAATAATGGAGAGGCTCAGCAATAGAAACAGGCCTCAGATCTACACACACACACACACAAATGTTGATATAGGTAGACATCAGTACCAAATATCTCTATGTTAAACATTTCATTCAAGCTGTATACCTGTAATCCCCATAGTCAGGTGGTAGCTGGTGGTGGAAGGTAGAGAGAGGACAACTGATGAAAATTTGAGGACAGATTTATAGAGTAAAACTTTCCGGGCTGGAAAGATGGCTCAGAGGTTAAGATCAATGACTGCTCTTCCAGAGGTCCTAAGTTCAATTCCCAGCAACCACATGGTGGCTCACAACCATCTACAATTCAATCTGGTGCCCTCTTCTTGCAGAACACTGTATGTGTAACAAATAAAAAAAAAAAAAACAGCCGGGAGGTGGTGGCGCATGCCTTTAATCTCAGCACTTGGGAGGCAGAGGCAGGCAGATCTCTGTGAGTTCGAGGCCGGGCTGGACCAATAGCCTCCAAAACAATACAGAGAAACTCTGTCTCGTAAAAACCAAAAAAAAAAAAAAAAAAACCAGGAAAAAGGGTCAAGAGTGAGTGTGGCCCTGTGTTCCTGTAGATACTAAAAAAGAGACCTGGGTTCCTTTAGCCCTCTCTCAAGCAGCTGCTGCTAACCTTGCCAGTGTCTCTTCCTAATGGGCACTATTGCTTCTAAAAACAAAACAAAACAAAACAAAACAAAAAAACCAAAACCAAAACAAACCAAAAAAACCCACAAACAAACAAACAAACAAAAAAACCCAAGGAGCCCAAACAACACAGAATGGTGGCAAATGTCTGTAATCCCAGTGCTCTTGAGTCTCAGGTAAGACGATGGAGAGTTCAAGACCTTTCTTTGCATTGTTTCAGTTTCTTTTCTTCTTGATATGATAAAATATCCTGACAAATACAATTTAGGTAAGAAAATGTTTATTTGGTTAGTAATTCAAGGTTACAGTCCATCATTTGTGAGAAGTCAAGGTCACAAGAACTTGATACAATTGGTTACATCACATCTGCCTCCAAGAGCAGAAGGAAATGAATTAGTGAATCATGCTAGGGCCCAGCTGCATTTCTCCATTCTTTTTTTGTTGTTGTTGTTGTTTTTTTTTTTGGTTTTACGAGACAGGGTTTCTCTGTATTGTTTTGGAGGCTGTCGGTCCAGCCTGGCCTCGAACTCACAGAGATCCGCCTGCCTCTGCCTCCCGAGTGCTGGGATTAAAGGCGTGCGCCACCACCGCCCGGCACATTTCTCCATTCTTATACAGTTCATAATCAACAGCCTTGGAAATTGTGTCACCCACAGTGGGCAAGGCTTTCCACCTCAATTAACAAAATCAAGATAATTTCCTAAAGGTATCCCCTCCTGCTCCAAGGGGATTCTAAATGTGTCAAGGTCACAATTAAAACTAACCTTCACAGCCACATAGTGAGTTTGAGGCCACTCTGGGCTACACAAAAATTTATCTCAAAAAACAAAATAAACTTGCCCAGTGGAAGGAAGGAGCTGGGCGGTGGTGGTGCATGCTTTTAATCAAAGCACTTGGGTGGATCACAGTGAGTTTGAGGCCAGCCTGGTCTACAGAGCAAGTTCCAGGACAGCCAGGGCTATACAGAGAAACCCTGTTTTCAAAAACCGAAATCCAAAAAACCCCAAACCAAACCAAAGCCGACCAACTAACAACAATCCCCCCAAACAAAAACAAACAAAAAATTAATTCAGATTAAAATAATGGACTATTTACTATTTTTCCATAGTTATGTCTATTAGATAGCAAAAATATTTGTTGTGGTGAAATTGATCATTCAGGTTAACATTATTTCTCAAGGAGAAAGAACATGACTCCTGTAAATCGTGTTAAAGTGATGTTTAACATATTAAACACCAAAAATTGTTGAGCAACAGATTGATTTCTACAGTTAGTAGTGAATCTTGAAAATTTAAAAATGATTTGAAATGTCATAAATTTTTGTTTATTAAAAAATTATACTAGAAGTAGGAGAGATGGCTTCATGGTTATGATCTTGCTGTTCCCAGAACCCACATCCATCAAGCAGTTCACAGCTGCTTGTAACTCCAGTTCCAGGGGATTCAACACCCTCATCTGGAATGAGGACTTTTGTATACACATATGTCCAGGCACTCAAACATACATGCAAAATAAAATAGTCAACAAGGTGTAGTGGCACACACCTTAATTCCAGTACTCAGGGGAGGCAGAGGCAGGTGGAGCTCTGTGAGTTTGAGGCCAGTCCTATCTACAGAGTGAGTTCCAGGTCAGCCAGGGCTGTTACACAGAGAAACCCTGATTCAAATATCGAGAAAAAAATGTTAGTCTGGTTATCAGGATACATTATTTGAAAAGAGGATCTCTCTTGCCATTCTAGTACAAACTACAACCCTGACATCTAAGCATGACTGAATCTGTTGCATATTTCACGAAAAATAAATAGAACAAACAAAATAAATAGAAGGAACATGTGTTGCACAATAAATGTGGGCACAAAATTGGAAACCGCTAATTTAGAAAACCGATTTGTGATTTTCAGAGATTATGAATGAAGAATGAAATGAAGAGGAAAACAATTTAGATAAGGTTGGCTTGCGAGCTATACCCCCAATTATATCAGATTGAAGTAATGGTTGATCTGTAACAGTTTCAAGTTTGTTCAATATCAACATAATTGTATGTTAATATCTGTAAGTATCTAAGTATCCGTAAGTGTGATGGGACACATCTGTTTTCTAAGCACCTGGGAGGCAGCAAGGTCGTTGCAAGTTTGAGGTCAGCCATGCATACATAGTGAGCTTGCAGCCTAGTCGGTACTGCATAGCGAGACCCTTTCTCGCTACCTTCCCCCAAAAGGTAAAAAACGACGTATGTGTAAGCACGTTGGCAAGTGAAGATTATACATAAAACATATAGCAGAGAAATCGAGGGCATTACAAAATAAAGGGAAGAAAACACTTGTATTTTGGATGGCTTATAGAGATCAAGAGCTTGGGACTGAGGACGTAGCTCATTGATACAGTGTTTACTTAGTATGCACAATGTATTGAGCTCAAAGAGTATGTCTTTGAGTGTTTGGTTGAATGTGGAATTTGTGGTTTGGTTTCCTCACCTCGAAAATGTTAGATTTGCCTACTTTGGAGGGTGCAAGCATTGAATGAGATAATTTAGATAAAGGATCAGTATAGTGGTCGACGTATAATAAATTCTCAATAAACGTAAATAGGGTGTTATTGTTTCATCAATTAGATGGAGGTAAAGAGGATGAACCAAAAGAGCGTTTTCAGGATAAAGTCAAGATACATGCCCGATACTTTGAGGTCAGCTGGGAATGAACTGGACCCTCTATGAAAAGGTGGAGGGGATCAAATGACGTCGACCGCCTTAGCAACAGGCCCCCAAAGAAGGTGAATTCCTGTAGCCAATAAGACACTGAGCTCTGGCAGGGGTAGCCAATAGATGACGGAAAGAGGAAGAGGGAGGACGCGCCAATTCTCCGGCTCGAGCCTCGGCCCAACAAAATGGCGTCGGCGGCGGCGTCGCTTTGTTTCAGCGGCTCCTGCGGCGGCGGCAGTGGTAGCGGCCTTTGAGCTGTAGGGAGGATCCAGCAGCAGCTGCGGTGACTACTAAGATTCCAGTACTTTTCGTTCACGATCGGGCACTGGGGAACGAGGAACGGTACCCAAGGGTTGCCGAAGCCAGGCAGGCGTCCGAGCCAAAAACATGACCGCTGAGCCCATGAGGTAAAACGCAAGCCCTTGTCACGGGCCCCGGCGTTCTGCTCCCGGGAGCCTTCCACTCGAGTGGGGTGTTTGCAAAGACGTGCGCTAGGCGCCCTAGGCCCGCGCGCGGCTTCGCGGTCAGCGGCATCGTTTTCCCTCTAGGTGAGCGGGGCTGGGGGAGTGCGGTGGGAAGCCCCAAGTGGGGCTAGGGGTGTGTGTCGGGGGCGGCCTGCGGTGCGCGTTGCCTTCCCCACCTCCCGCCTGCGCGGACTCGGGAGCCTCTGCTCGGCTCCCGCCTCCGTGCCGGCAGCATCGAGGCCGGGGAGTCGCGGGCGCTAGGCGCTTGCGGGGTCATTCTTCCTAATCTTTGGGCCTAGCAACTGCGTGGGGGAGGGGGGGATGGGGAGTGGAGGGGGAGGGGCAGCGGGAGGAAGTGAGATCCTGGGACGAGCTAGCTCAAAGGGCGGTTGCTACGGGAAATCCTCGGCTCCCCACAGCTGCGGGAGACGAGCTTTCGAGGTTGGGGGGCGAAGAAGGTGTCTCCGAAGGTATTTAGCTTCTTTCTCACTCCAAATCCAGGAGATCCTGGGATTTTCCCCCCCCCCCCCGGGCGGCGGCGGGGGAGGGGGCAGGCTTTTCTTTCTGAGAAGCCCGGCACACTACTTTTGGCGAAGTCCGGTCTTTAGTGGGACATCAGTTGTTTCCCCCGCGTTTGGGGCATATATTTCGAGAAGTAGTTAGATCATGTTTTTATTTATTTGTTCCACTAGGCATGGAAAGCCGGTTAACAGGGGCTCACCAGAAGTAAGATTTATTGCCAAGGTAGCTGTGCCCGGCAGGCCATATCTTAACCGATTGAGCCTGTTTTTCACCTGTTTCCGATTAGCTTCTTGACAGTTGTGAGTAGTTAATCTGAAATGTATATCGCTTTTATGCAGATACCTTGCTTTGTGTGCAGTTTGATGTTTGATTTTTTTTACCCTAAGTGTGAATTAAGTGATTATTCTACTCAGATGAGATGCGTGCTTGGTGCCTAGTGGCAAAATAAAATTACAGGTAGCGTGGGTCATAATTGTATTTGTAGTTGGCACAATGTGCCTTTCAGTTACTACTAGGACAGCATGTTTTTAGAGCACTTCAGATTGTAGAATTTGAGAATGAGCCTATCAGCCTATTTTCTTCATTAACAAACAGCGCATAGATGCGCTGCTCTTTGAACTTAGGAGAAATATACTTTAGTTATTTTTTATCTTTCATTTATTTTTTAAATTTAAATAAGAAACAAGCTTGTTTTACATGTCAATCCCAGTTCCCTCTCCCTCCCCTCCTCCCCTACCCCCACCTACCCCCATCCCAATACTTTAGTTCTTAAAATTCAGGCTCTTAGTTGTGTAAAGTTGCCTTGCTTTGTGAATTTGCATTAATTGGCTCAAATAAAACAGATCTTTATTCATGGGGTATTGGGAAGTATTGGCTGGGTATTATCAGACATTCAGGTTCATTTATTTGGATGGTGTACCTTACAGTTCTATATGACTTCTAGATTTTAGTTTCTTACTTAGTTGACTGTATTTAAAACCATAGTTGTGCTTTTGTGGAGGATGAAGCTGTAGAGGCTCAAGAATTTGAAGCCAGCCTGACTGAAAACTAAAAATTTCCGAACAGAAAACAGGTGTAGCCTGTAGTGTCTACCTATCAAGAGGCTGGGGTAGAACTATCTTGGATCTCACAAGTTCAAGTCCAGCCTGGTCAACATCTGAGATTGTATCAAAAAGAAACGTGTGTGTGTGTGTGTGTGTGTGTGTGTGTGTGTGTGTGTTCTACTTGAATTTTCTCCTTTTCTGTTGTCACCTCCCCTTTTTTTTTTGAGACAGGATCTTTTGTAAACCAAACTGACCTGGAACTGTATATTGAAGAATGATCATAAACTTCTCAGAGCTGACATTACATGTCACCATGCTGGGTTTTGCTGGGCTGGGGGATTGAACCCAGGACTTTTGTGCTTGCTACCAGCTGATCGATCACACTTTTGATCCTCTTTGCAGTGCTGGGGATTGAATTTAGAGCCGTGTGCATGCTAACCTTCTGTTCCCTACCGAGCTGTACTCCTAGCCCTCCTTTCTGTCTTTTATTGTGAAACCAATTTCTTTAAGTTGATCAGGCTGGTCTTTAATTCATAGACACAGTAGATTTTCCAGTATCTGGGACTACTACATAGTATTTGACACTGCCACCTCAGGAAGCTCCTCTCCCTTTCTTTAGGATGAAGAAATTATGCATATTACCTTACGCAGGGGTTTTATTTATTTGTTTTACTGGTTTTGAGGTTTGCTTTTAGATCTTAGTGATGGCAATAATCATAACTAAAACTGAGTACTTGTTGTCCTTGCATAACTAACAAATCTTCGTGTGTGTGCATGAGACTTACAAGGATCAGAGAGTGTTCTCTGTTCTCCCCTTCCATGTGGATGCCAGGGATAGAGCTCAGGTCCTCAGTCTTGGCAGCTAACACCTTTATCCATTGAGCCATCTTGGTATACCTCAGTATATTTTTATTTTAAAGAAGCCTCATTTTTATTTATGTGTTTGTATATATGTGTATGCATATAGGTGTGTATGTGTATGTATGTATGTGTGGGCACGTGTGTGTGTGTGTGTGGGGGGGTGTATGCTAGAGGCCTGTCTTAGTCACTGTTCTGTTACCCTGAAGAGACACCATGACCATGGCAACTCTGATGAAAACTTTTGATTGGGAGCTTGCTTACCGTTACAGAGGTTTAATTCTTTATCATCGTGGTGAGGAACACTCTTCCGATCTCCATCTCCTTTCAGCCTTGTTGACTGCAACTCACTTCTCTCTCTTGGGCTGTTTCCACTTCCTGATAGCAGCTCTCCTTGGCAGGTATTCCATGGCTCAGGCATCTCTAACATCTTGGGGTCTCCAAGGCAATCCAGGCTTCACCTTTACAGCTTCACACAATGGCCTTTCTAAGCCTCCATGCAAGGACTCCCCTGGCACATGCCTGGCCTCAGTGGCTTTGCTTAGCCATGGAGGGAGATTCCTCAACTCCTTTCTTGTATCCTTGACTCGAAAGCCAGAACCACATGGCTGAAGCTGTCTAGTTCATTACACTTCCTGGTGCCCCCTTTCTCCTGAAGCTGTATATTTTGTGTTTCTTTTTGTCCCAACTTGCTCATTTTCATTATAGATATGCATAAGAGTGATAACTAATAACCACACTAGGCAAATATGGTCAATATTAGTCTGCTTGAAATCTGTTCTGCCAATGGTATTAATCTAAAACTCTTCAATTTATTTTCAGGCGAATTTTTAGGACAGGGTCAAAAAAGTACCCACATTCTTTCCCGAAATTTCACAAGAATGTTTCTAGACCACTTACTAATATTCCTTCGTGAGCCTGGCGCTCCTCGTAGATCACCTCATCTTCCTCAGCATTATCTTCCAAGCTCCAAATGGTCCATTAAGCCCTGCTTAAAGTGTCCAACCAATTTTTAGTACAAAGTCTTCCATATTCCTCCAGCAAACAGCATGGACAGATCTGTTAGAGCAATACCTCAGTCCCTGGTACTAGCTTATTTTTTTATAAATCTTTTTGTTAAAGGATTTTTATTTATTACGTATACAGTGTTTTGGCTGCATGTATGTCTGCATGCCAGAAGAGGGCACCAGATTTCATAACAGATGGTTGTGAGCCACTATGTGGTTACTGGGAATTGAACTCGGGACCTCTGGAAGAACAGGCAGTGTTCTTAACCCCTCTCCATCCCACTAACTTATTTTTTAAATTTATTTATATTCATTTAATGTGACTTGGTGTTTTACTTATGTATATCTGTGTGGGAATGTCGGATCCCCTGGAGCTGGAGTTACAGATAGTTGTGAGCTGCCATGTGGGTGCTGGGAATTGAACCTGGGTCCTCTGGAAAAGACCCTCGTGCAACACTGTTCTGTTGCTGTGAAGAGATACCAAGAACACAGCATCTCTTTAATTGGGGGCTTGTTTACAGTTTTAGAGAGTTAGTCCATTATCATGGTGGGATCATGTCATAGTGCTCCAGCAGTAGCAGAGACACAGAGGGAGGGAGAAGGGAGGGGGTGGGAGAGAGGGAGAGAGGGGAAGACAGACACTGCTCTTGGCATGGGCTTTTCAAACCTCCTGCAAGGCCACACCTCCTGTTCCTTCTCAAATAGTGTCCTTCTCTGGTGACTGTTTGAATATGAGCTTATGTGGGCCACTGTTGCTCAAAGCACCACAAGACCAGAAAAGAGGGCATTGGGTCCCCTGAAGCTGGAGTTACAGGCAGTTGTGAACACCTGACAATTGGTTTGGGGAATCAAACTCTGCTCTTCTCCAGGAGCTCTTAAGTGCTGGCATATACAAGACCCAGCTTGTATAGTTGGGATTAATTTTCAGAATACTATTTCATCTTCCCCATTTTGCTGGTGAGGAAATGGAGACAGAACTTGATTGAAGCTTTACAAGTTGTAATTAGTGGAGCTGGGACTCTACCCAGTCTTAACTTAGCTTGTGTTCTGTTCTTTTCTCTTTGGTTGAGACAAGGTCTCAATATATGGCCCATGATATCCTTGAACTGGTTGGTAGTCTAGGCTGATCTGTTACTACTGTGCATGTGGCCAGCCGGTGGTGGTTCATGCCTTTAATCCCAGCATTCAGAGGCAGGTAGATCTCTGTGAATTCAAGGCTAGCCTGGTCTACACCGTGAGTTCTGGAACAGTTAGGACCACATGGAGAAACCCTGTATCAGAAAAAAACCACAAAAAAATAAAAAGAAAAAAGAAAGGAAAAAAGCCCCCCCCCCAAAAAACCCACACATATAAATGTAGGGTGTTAATAAAACTGTGCTTCCCTGGTCATTGCTATAGAAGAATTCCATGAGGGTGCTAAGTACTGTCTCAGGCTGAAGTGTCACTAATCTCCCTAGTAATAATACAGTTATAGAAGAATCAAACAGGCAGTGCTTGAGAACCAAGCCCGCAATGCCAAAGCAATTAATCTCAGTCCCACATTTTCCATTGCTCCACCCTGCCCGGCTTGCTTATCTTTTAATGTGAAACAAATAGAATATGGGCAGCTATATTTTATCATTAATTTGATATTTGTGTAGTAATTCCAGATGTT